AAATCTTGCACTTCAAGTGATAATGGCTTGACCTTCATCCTTAGGGGAACTTCAGTATTAACCATTAACGGTCAATCTCTGATAATGTAACGAAGGTGCATCTCCATCCTTTTACATGATGCTTCAATGCTTTTCTGAGTAGAGGTGGAATTTTTCAAAAATCGTTGAAGGTTATCATCCAAAACTTTCTGATAGAGAGGGTGATGAGTCAATATTTTCTTGATCACTTAGCTTATTGTGCTTAGATTTAATCAAGGAATTGTGCTTAAATGTCCGGTATTTTTCCATTTTTGCTAATTGTGCTTAATTTGACAAAAAATTCTTATTTTAATTAATTTGAATTATTTGAGCTATTATTTGCATTATTAATTGTAGGAAAAAGTGTTGGATAATATTTGGGACATTTGGAGGTGAAAAGAAATGCCACATCAATTATATTTTAAAATAAAATGAAAGAGTGGTGTGGATTTCATTTTTAGAAGTGAATGAAGAAGAGGATGGTTATTGAATGAAGGGAGCCCACGTAAATTTGGTGCGTCCAGCAAGATTAGGGGTGTGTCAAGCAACACTTGGGCTTCATGCGGAGAATGGGAAGCAGCAAGGGTGCACATCCAGCTTTCAATTGGAGAAGCACGCACACATTGCGGTGCATTCAACAGCTTGGATTTGAGCAAGTGTGTTTGGAGAGAATGGGAGGTGCACACCGAGAGAAGCACGGCCCAACATGTTTCTTCATGGTCCAGCAGCCACGTTGAGGAGAGAATTACACGGTCCATAATTGGTAGCGTCCAGCTGGCTGGGAAAGAGAATGCCACGGCCTATGGGGTCCATCCACCACCAACAAAGTCATTGATGGACAAATTTGTAAGCACCAAAATATGATGTCACAAACTTGTTTCACAATCGGCAAGTATGACCGAATCGTTTCAAGTAATAAACTTGTAGACCAAGTATCGTTCTCCCAAGGAACACGGCTCGTTTAGTTATGTGATTTGTTGATTAGCTAAGACTAAGAACACAATAAATTGAAGTTTAATATTGCAAAGACGAAAAATAAATATGGATGCAGAATTGATCAAAGACAAAGACAAAAGATAAAACATTTCACGGAAATATATGAATGAATATGTTGTTGGGGTCAATTTCATCTCATCCACTCTCATATATTTTAGGATTCAACATTCAAATCATCATTTTAATGCCCATCTCTTAATGTCCATTCTAGATGGCTTCTCCCTAATCAAATAGTCATTACAATTACGAGCATTCCTAATGATTAGTTCATGCGTGGCAGGAGCTTAAAGGCAACCAATATAATATTTGTCAGTTATAATATTGGGAAATTCCCCGGAATCTAGATTTCCCCGTTAGGGGTCCGTATCAACAAAACCAATTAATCATGCTTAGAATGAGTTAAACAATCAAGCATTGAGCAACAAGAGGAAAAACCCTAACTAATGATGGAAAAGAAAGATATGTCTTAATGCCAAGAGTACTCAACAATTACTATATGAGAGTTCAAGAGATACTTTGATGCCCCAACAAACATACAGGTTTAGTTCACCATTATTCATGGTGAACCTAGATGAATTTACAATGAAAGTATGAAAAGATAACCCAATAAGGTTTGAAGAGTAGCTGAGCATACAAGATCCTCCTTCAAAGGGGTGAATGAAAAGAGAGAGTGGTTGCCTCGTTTCTGCCAAAGATGCCTAATATGTAGGACGGCAACCCTTCTATATAATCGAGAGTTACAAAAAAAGATTACAAAAGTCAAAGCCCACAAAAGTGCCGCTCAGAGGTATTTACCGCTCAGCGGTGATTGGCGCGTTTCTTTCTCCCCAGCGGCCCATTTGCCCCTCCCCTCAGCGGTTCCACGTTCACCTCTTGAGTGCCGCTCAGCGGTAGTTTGCCGCTGAGAGGGCCTCACTTCTCCTTTTTGCACTCTTTTCTTGTATTTTCTAATGTCCTTCCTTATTCTTCACTTCTTTCACAAAATTCACCTCAAAACCTGCACAAAACACCTAAATCAGCATAAACCTGTCCAGCTCTACTTATTTCTGAAAAATATAAACAAAAGGCATGATTTCAAGCTAGTTTCTAAGTCTAAAGGTTTTGTTTTAGTATCACTTTAGATGAATGAAATAAACAGTTTTTCAACTGTTTGATCAGTCATTTCTTATTTGGAAAAGAGAAGCATATTCACGTGAAGGCTGGAAGCTTGGAGGCGCTGGTTCCATTTGAAGAGAGTGGTGTGCACGGTGACATGGCTGGCTGGAAGAAAAGTGAGATGCTGCACGTAGATGGAAAAGAAGCTCACGGTACAGCTGGAGGTGCACAAAGGCAGCAGCCACCATATATAAGGAGGGGCTCTCACGGAAGAAGCAAGGGGCTGGAAAGTCACGGTCAGCAAGCTTGGTCCAGCAGTTTAGAAGTGCTGTCACGCACGGCCTGGTAGCTTCTATGTCCAGCACGTGAAGCAGAGAGGTGGCATCCAGCAATTGGCAATGAACGCATCCAACAGCTTGGAAGAACGTCCAAGGGTGTGTCCAGCAATCCTTAGTCCAGCAGCAACACGTTTCCTTTCTTTTGAAGACAGCAGCTGGCACGGGAATGAGTTGGAGATGAAGCGGTGGTTTATTCCAGATGGGGGTGCAGCAAAAGAGGACAGCAACAACGGACGTCCACGCGGGCTTCACGCATCCAGCAGCTTGGGAGGCACACACATCCAGCATGGTTTGAAGAAAGGGAGCGTTCAGCAAAAGCAGGTGTGTGCTTGGAGAGAATGAGGTGGTGCATCCAGCAAGTAGCAGGCCCAAGGCAGTAGCGTGCAAGGAGACGCGTACAACAAGCTTGGAGGGCATCACGCGTGGAGGGCTTCAGAGGGCCTTTTGGATTTAAGCTCCAGCCGCCACAGTAGAAGGGGGGTGAGCAGTCACGGCCTGGGAGAGGTCCTCTCTTCCAGAGTTCCAGTAGCTTTAGTCTCCCGTCCAGCAGTTCCAGTAGAGTAGGCACCAGAATGTACAGTAGTATAGTTTGCTTTAGTAGTGTAGTTTTGTTCCAGTTTGTTCCAGTTTGTTCCAGTAGTGTAGTCCAGCCGTGTAGTAAGGAGAGAATGCAAAGAGGCCGTGGACAGAGGGCTGGAACGTGAAGGAGGAAACACATTGGAGAGAATGGAAGGTTACGGTTGAAGCAAAATGGTGTGCACGTTCCAATTTTATTTTCTATTTGATGTACTAAATTATTGCATGATTTAAATGAAAGTTGGTTTCATTTTCTGTTGTTAAATTTCCTGATCATTTTACTGCTTCTGTTTTGTTGTTATAATTTAATTTCTGTTGCAATTTACTTTTTGTCGTTTGTCTGCAATTTAATTTCCACTGTTGTTTGCACGGTGTTGTTGATGATTTCATTTTTTATCACTCGTTGTAATTTACTTCTAAATATTTTGCTACGGTAATGTTGATTCTGTTTTCATATTTAAAATTTGTTGTTCTCTGTTTTTACTGTTTACTATATTTTCGTTTTCCGTATTTTCATTTTCTGTATTTTTATTTTCTGTTCCAGATCTGCTTTTATTGTTTCATGTTGCTGTAATTTCGTTTTACTATTTTAAATTTCGTTTTACTGTTTTGAATTTTATTTCAGCGCTTTTCAATTTTACCGCAACCAAAAAATCACAAACCCCCCACTACGTGTTGATCTGAGACTAAACCCAAATTGGTCCTTGAGAGATGACCTAGGAGTCACTTCCTAGTACTGTACTGCATTAATTTTGCAATCAACTTTTGTGTGAGGTGCGACCTTCTCAACAGAGGGTTGTTGCTGCCATTGTTGTGGTGGCGACCTATCAAATTCTTCGACAGCTTGAGTGCTTTTGTGATGACAATTAGATATCTGTATGTATTGTTGAAGTGCGTCCTCCAACGTTATCCTTCTTCCCGATAGAGAGGGTTTTTTGCTGCCATTATTGTGGTGTCGATTCTTAAATTGTTCAACAGCCAGTTGCCAAAATTGACTTTTATTCATGCTTGAGTGAGGTTCCACCAGTGGTTGAAATTAACCTTAGTTAGAATTGAGTGCCCATATAGTTAAATTCTTGTTCGAATTGCATCCTGCAAACATTAGGCACAAAACTCTAGAAACTATTTGTTAGCACAAAAAGAAGGAGAAGATAGATAAAAAAAAATCAAAGGATATAATCGAAAAGATAGGAAGATAGGAAATAAAAACAGAAAAATAAAAACAGCAAATAAAATAAAATAAAATAAAATAAAAAACAGAAAATAAAATAAAATAAAATAAAAATAAAAATAAAAATAGAAAAAATAAAAAACAGAAAATAAAATAAAATAAAATAAAATAAAAAATAAATAAAAACAGAAATTCAAAATTCAAGTCAAAGATAATCAATAATCACACAAATGAACTAGTTAAACCACGATCCCCGGCAAACGGCCGCCAAAACTTGATGACAAATTATGAACACTAAAAACCGACGCCACAAACTTGGTTAACAATCGGCAAGTGTGACCGAATCGTATCAAGTAATAAAAAACTAGGTAAGACCAAGTATCGTTTCCCAAAAGGACTCACGGGCCTAGTTTAGCCTAATGATTGTTGATTATTAAGACTTAAGAAACAAATTGTGGTAGGTTTAATGCAAAAGACAGTAATTAAATATGTATGCATTGAAGTGATCATGGAGAGGGAAAAACAGAATTACAAAACACTTCAATGAATTAGATGGATGGTATGTTGTTGGGGTTATCATTTCAATCTTATCCACTCCTCATATCTTTAGGAATTCACATTCTTTTCATCAATTGCTTAATGCACTTTAAATCACCGTGCAAGAAGGCCTATCCTTAATACGGGGCATACAATTCCTGCATTACAGTAATAGTTCTTGAAAGTGCAGGAGCTTAAAGCAACAATATGCTATTGGGAGAAAAATTCCCCGGATCTAGACTTCCCCCGTATGTTCCATATTCGGACAAAATCAAAATCATGGCAATTGAATGAGTTAAACAAAGCAAGCCTTAAGCAAGGAGGGAAAATACCAACTAAAGATGAAAGAAAAAAAGCATTGTATCTAAAATAAGCTGTTAAAAAACCAAATTCCATATATGAGAGTTCCCCAAGACTACATTGATTCCCAACAGTTCACCCATATTCATGTGAAACTAGTGAACAATTGAACGAATGAAAGATATAGACCCTAGAAAGAGAGGAGGTAGGCCTGAGCAGACAGATCTTCCTTCAAAGGGTGGAAAAGAGAGGGTTTGCTTCGAATGGAAAGGCACTTAGCTATGGTTTGCGTGGAAAACCAGAGCTCTAGGTACCACTTGATGGAAGCTTGCTATGGGTGAGAATCATTGAACAAGGAAGCCAAACAGCAAACGTTCCAGTGGCCGAATGAAGGCAGCGGAATTCTGAAATAGATGCAGAGAATGGTATGGTTTCGGTGAAGAATGGAGTGGGTAGAACCTCTCAGCTCAAAGGGCCTTCTACTTTGGAAGGAAGCTAGAGGTAAGGAGAAAGAAAGTGAAGAATTGGGTTGACTCAAGAGCAAGGTAAGATGAATTTCATTTCTGCAGCAATTAGACTAAGCTCAAAAGTGTCTACAAAAGGAAGAGGTCTCCTATTTATAGGAATATAAGAGCCTTAAATCTGAAATGAAATTCAATCCAAAAGCAAATGAAAAAGGCGCCAATTTGCTTCAGCTTCAAACATGCCTCATTCCAATCAGCCGCACACGTGAAACAACACCAATTCTGAATTCTTATTCCAACTGAGCAGCACACGTGAAATCTGGGCTAGCTAGGTTATGAGCTTTTTGATAGCTTTGGCAGCAAGTTTCTCCCTCCAAATCTCTTTTCACGTGCTCAAATGCTATGTTGGCAACTGCTCCCTCCAATTTTATTAATCCTACAAAGCAAAGAAAAAATGTGCTTTTAATTTTGGGAAGAAGGATTAATGTAAATTACCTTCCATAGAAGCAAAATTGTAGGTGATCCTTCTTCCTCTTGAATCCTCTTTGCCATGACTCTAGTAAGAGGTCCAATGTGTGTCTTAGATGGTCTTCCATCACAAGATGGTAATAAAAATAGGACATATTATAACGTAGTTTGTAAATCAGTTATAATATGAAACGCGGTGGCAAAACTTGTAAATAAGTGTAAGACATATTATAACGTAGTTTTAAAAATCAGTTATAATATGAAATGCGGTGGTAAACTTGTAAATAAGTTCAAAACCTATTATTGATGTATTATAACGGAGTTTTAGAAATCAGGTATAATATCTCTTTCTCTTTAATTTTTCACATTTCCCTCTCGCTAGATTTCATTCAAGTTCACTCTCATTCTTTTCTTCCGCTATTCGTCTCATCCCTCTCACTTGCATTTCTCGGCATCTCCGTCATCAGCCACATCATTTTCAGAACTTCAGCCACGTTGTGGAGCGTATTCCTTCGCTCGCTGTCACGCTTGGAGGTCTCATTTCATTTCCTCTCGCGCATTCGAGAGAGCACTTTCATTTCTCACATCAGAGAGCCTCACTCTCATTTCTCTCCATTTCGGTTTCCTGGCGTCTTCCTTCTCGAGAGACATCTCCTCGTCGCACGTCGTTCATCATCACGGCAAGGCTTCTTCACTCACAGAATCATCTCTATTTCCTCTATCCTTCATTTTTCACCGAATCATTCATAGAGCTAAACCCTCTGTTGGGGTTTCTTTTCCTTTTCACCATTTCCCTTCGATTCCACCGATTAAAACCTTGTTTTCACCATTAGAAACATTTTCCACCGATTCAACTTTGATTTACACCGATCAATCGGTCCAGAATAGGTTTCCTTCTTCTTCTAGGGTTTCTATCAAGTTTAATCCTTTGTTTCATGTTCTTCTTCGAGTTTTTGTCATATTTTCGCTACGTCTTCTCTTTGGAAGAAGCTTCGAGGATTCGCGTCGCACCTACAGTCATCTTCTCAGAGCTGCTCTTCCAACCGTAGTTATAGTTCACATTCTTCTCTGTAACACTTTTCCCCTCTTTACCCTGTTAATTTAGTTTTCATATTTATAGAAATTTTAATAAAACATGTTTGCTTTTATTATCATATTATGTAAAGTAATGAATGCTATTTTCACTGTTTTTATCTTTGTTTTAATTTTTCCATCATTTGCAGACCCCTACTTGAACACTGATGCGGGGACAATGTCTCCTTTCGAGCATGCGGAGGTTTTCGTCTTAGATGATAGCGGAGAGGTAAGCAAATGAAAATTTTCTACAACAAGATGACAGTCATTAGATTTTTTATTTCCTTCTAAATTCAATGGAAGGTTGAGGTTGTATGTTATGTTATACTTTCCCCTGCTCTTTTCATTTTCTCATTTTACTTCATAAGTGCAAGCTAAAACTTTTTGAGTCGTAGTAAAAGAGGATATCTGCAGTTTGTTTTCCTCTGAAGTTTTAGATTGCCATTTTCATTATTTTTTTTGTTTGTGGAAGCTTGAACTTGATCTTGGGAACTACGAACGATTTTTGGACATTAAATTAACTGGCGACAATAACATCACTACTAGAAAAATGTATCAGGTGAGCCAGATGTTTCTAATTGTTTTGTTTTGGATGTTTATAGTTTGTTATTGAGAAGGAGAGAAGAGGAGATTATGAAAGAGGAGAGGTCAAGCTCGGGCAGCCTTGGGGGAGTTTGTTGAGGTGGGGTGGCTTACTCGATCTTAGTATTTGTAAATTTTTTTGAAGTTTACCCAATTCGCATTGCTGATTGGAATTTATTTATTTATTTTTTAACCTGGGTATTTTAGTTAATCAATGCTTCATGTTAGGTATGTCCCATTGACACCCACCCTTAATGAAATGGATCTCTTCTGGTACAGAAAATGAAATGATCTTGAAATCTGGTTTTTACTTATGTTTGATTTGACTTATAAGGAGTAGAAACTTGATTTGGTTTAGGCATTAACACTTGGGTCAAATATGTATTGTTTAAGCAAAACTAGTGCAGTTGTCAAGACTTATGTAGAGCCATGTTAAGGAACTGTTTGACTAGTGATCTTATTATATATATAGTTGAAAAGAAGGTGATTGAAATTTTCAGTTACTTAAGTAAGATCTCACTTGAATCACTTTTTATTATAAATGATTTTCTTGCACACATAACACTTAAGTAAGATCTCACTTGAATCGCTTTATTATTTTTCTGAGTAAACACTTTCTTTTACAGGGTTTAGCATTATCTTCAATTGGTGAATATAAGAAAGCTGAGGATGCACATCTAAAATCACTTCAAATTGATAGAAATTTTCTTGAAGCATGGGCACACCTGACTCAGGTATCTATCAACCTTATTGTACTGATAGATTGTTGGAACATTTAGTTATTAACTTAGCTGAAAGCTTTTTCTGAAAATCCTGAGTCATCTGTGTGCATATTATTTTATGGTTTGAAATGTAATCTATTGTATCAATGGATTCTCTCTGGTCTCTAATAGTATCTTTCCTCACTTCTTTCATTCATAACATTTCTGTCCCATATACTACTAACTCATTCTACTTGAATTAAAGTTTTCATTTAATGTCAGCCAAGTAACTTAGTTTACATTTGCATTTTTCCTTTAGTAACTTATAGGTTTAACTCTACAAAAAAGGTTTCGTCTTTCATGCCTTTTAATGGTGGCTTTTCTGTTTGATGACTTTGTTACTAACCCTGTTCTGAATGTGTGATGGTAGTTGATCTGGATCTATCAGTGTGTGATTTATAAAATTATCTATTAACTATGGGACACAGTTTTTGGCCTTTCATTTTATGTTATAGGAAAAGCTTTTATTTTAAATTATTTTGGCTGCTAGATTAATCTGAACATGAGGTTTTTGGCAGTTCTATCAAGATATATCGAAGCCAACAAAAGCTCAAGAATGTCTAAGTCAGATGTTGCAAATTGATGGAAGGTAATTGTTGTTAATGAAAAGGTATCATTGGCATCGCAGGCATTTTAGCTGGTAACTGGTTTATAAAGTTTGAAGTACTTTATGCCTGCTTGCTCTTTATCCGCAGCTGATTACTTGTGTTGTATGTTAGGTTTTCCAGAGCTCATCATTTGCGTGGCCTTTTGTTCCATGCAATGGGACAACATAGGTATGTAAACAACCTTAACTGCTGTTTAATTGGAGATTGACTATTTAATTAAGATAACTGTATCTTGCAAGCCTTCAATAGTATTATGATTGGGGCCATGAATTCAAGTAACACACTTTGAGATATAGTGGCAGACCTACAGGTAGTTATTGAAGAAAATATGGTGGTAGAAGTTGGAAATATGATGAAATCTGATAGGAAGAACTAAACTACTCAAAAATACATAAAATCTATAACTAAAAGAAACTGAAAGATAACATTGATATTTTTTTCTCCCCTCTCTATTGGTAAGAAGACTACCTTTGTATAACCTAAAAGCATGCCATCAATTAAATTATGACCCTATAAGTGTCATCATCTAATTTATCTTGTTTCTGACTTAAATTGGGTTTGATTGTGACAGGAAGGCGATCAATGATTTGTCAATGGGTTTGAGCGTTGATGGTGCCAATGTTGAGTGTTTATATTTGCGAGCTTCATGCTACCATGCTCTTGGACAATACAAAGAGGCGGTAAAGTTTTACTCTTAACTTTTTGGGAGAAATACTGATTCACATTTGTCACTCAGCAACTTCATTTATGATCTCAGGTCAAGGATTATGATGCTGCTCTGGATTTGGAATTGGACTCAATGGATAAGTTTGTGCTTCAGTGCCTTGCCTTCTACCAGGTTTGTATATTGTAAAATATTATATTCGTACAGCTTCTGTTTTTCCCCTTAATTCTATTTTATTCATGAAAAGGAAAACTAGTTCATTTCTTCGTGAAAATGTCATCTGACAAAGCTGGAGCTGTTAGAAACAAAAGATAAAATAAGATCTGATTAAAAACAAAGTCAGAATATTAGTGTTTAGCATAAAATACACAATATATATAAAAAAAAACGCATGATAGAAAAATATTAGAGAGTAAGAGATTAAAAACAACCTAGGTTGACACATGTAGAATACTGTACTTAGAGAAAAAGTGTACCACTGGTTGAAAGACCTATATGTGCTCCTCTCTTTAGATATAAGAAACTGTTAGATTGTTTGAGTACAATGAAGGATCTTCTAACCTTATGAACACCAATGTTCTTTGAAAGAGTATAAATTATCTAAATAATTTAGAAGAAAAAACTGGCAATGATTTTTTACGTGAATGAATATGTTGTATGCGCCTTTTCTGCTTAATGGAATGCGTTTTATATAGGCAAAGGAAGTGCACCGGTAAAACTGAAGGTGCGGCACTAAAAAATAAAATATATTGTTCCGATTCTAAAGCTTCTTATGTTAAAAAGAATAACAAAATGTCCATTAACTTTTATTTTTAAACGTTTAAATTGTAACAATCTAACAACGTGCTGGGAATAACTATCCTATATATTAGTAGCTAAAGAGTTACATATTTAGAAACTGTTTTAATATAATATAGAAAACTAATACTTTAATTTTTATAATTACAATAAAAATATTTTACCAACAATTAATGGAGTGGTAAATTTTCAAAGTGAGGGACTCATGCCTTTCAACATACAAACTGAGAGCTTACTAACGTCAACTTACAAAGTTCCTTTAACATTTTTTTACATGCTTCCTCTTTTGCTTTAGTTCTTGTTGCTTAGATTTCATGTGAAGCCTTCATTGAGAAACACTTGCCAGACTTGCTTTCTTGTAATTATTATGATACATTTATTGACTAATTTTGTACATTCGTTTTGGGCATTATGGGAATGAACTTATATACTGATTAATTAATGTTAACATCTTCCTTTAATTTTTATTTGAGGCTTAGTGGTATAATGAGCATCAAACTCTATTTTCCCTTTCGCAGAAAGAGATTGCTCTTTACACTGCTTCAAAATTTAACGGTGAGTTTTGCTGGTTTGACATTGATGGGGATATTGATCCACTTTTTAAGGTAAAGTTATGGAAGTCATTCCTCCTTTCTTTGATAATTTTCATCTCTTAATTTGGTTGAACTAAATTTTTTATGGGATAGGATTACTATTTTGAACTAAATAATTACGAATCATGTTACTATCGTCATGCTTGTCAAATGTCAGAAAACCTGTAAATCTTACTTCTTTGCACATAACCAAGTTTCTGTGTTGGTGTCAGAAGTGTATGAACTTTTACTTCTATGTTGGAGATGTGTTTCGTATTGCTTAGATTCTAATTTCTATGATATTATGTCTTTCTTATATTTAGGAGTACTGGTGCAAGAGGTTACATCCCAAAAATGTATGTGAAAAGGTTTACCGCCAACCTCCTTTGCGTGAGTCTTTAAGAAAGGGAAAGCTTAGAAAGCAAGAATTAGTTCTTACAAAGCAGAAGGGTGCTCTTATACAGGCTGCAGATTTCATTGGCAAGAAAATCCAATATGATTGTCCTGGTTTCCTACCTAACAGGCGTCAGGTAGAGTGACTTTTTATATGTTAATGTCTCTATATCAGGGCTTATTAATTTTACACATTTTGTGCTGTGGGTGGCACTTATACTTTTGCTGCCCTTTTTTTGAACAAATAGATTTGTACTTTTTGTCTGTGTCTGAATGTAGTTAGGATGGACCTTTGGTTTTAGTAAATAACTTGTCCTTGATTCGATAGTTGCTGCAGAGAGGTGCATGTGACAAATCCAGCAATCATTGAGTATATCATGTAGTGGAATTGTCTGTTATTGTAGATACTATTCTTTTATCTTTTCCTTACTTTAGGACTAATCTTTTATTTATTTGAGTTGTTGTCAGGTTTGAATATAAATTCATAGGGGCTGAGCACAAAATTTTTCAGGCAATTACAGATATTCTGAGAGTTCAAGTGAAATCAAATTATAGAAGAAAATTATGAAAATATGTAAAATGGATTTTCTATGTTAATTTTTCATTTACGTAATTTTTGCAGCTTCTTGTGACCTTTTTCTTTGATGTCGATCTCTGTATTATTATACACAAATAAAGACATTCTGAGAAAACTGAGGGTATAACAGAAGTAATAACATATCATTACAATGACTTCCCTTAAGTGGGTGCATTTATATTGTGAAAAAGGAAGACACGCATATGTTTTTAAAACTTAAGGGGTACATGATAAAGAGAGCAAACATGTATTAGAAACTTGTAATATCAAAAAGAAATCAAATTCAAGAAACAAGTATGAATCTCATCTTCACTTTTTTCTGTGCAATTAAATGTCGCAAGAAGTTTGAATGAATTATTCTATGCACCATAGAATTTCAAAGACAAACACAAGAATATAACGATTGAACTAAAACAATTAACAAAAGACAATGACTGAGTTAGAATAAGAAACAAAGAGGCAGAAGTTTAGAAGAACTAGAAGAAGAAATGAAATTGACAACAAGTAGTAAAAGGAAAAGGTGGAGAAGACATAAGGAGATGGAGAAGAGTTGAGTGCCATTTGAAGGAAGAGAGTTCTTCATCTCCATAATAAGTTTCACATAGAATCGCCACTTGACTCCTAGGAGGTCAAGATAAGACTCAAAGTACAAAATCACTGTAACAAGTATCTCACAAATTCAATATCTCATATATGAATAAAGTTTCTGTGCAGGAGGGAGTGATTGTTTATAGTCATCCATGGCCAAGGCTTGGCCAAATATTTCAAAGAATTAAGGAGGGAAAACTCATTTTTAATTTTAAATCTAGTTCTAGATCAAAGGGTAGGATTAACTTCATATTTTGTGTGTTTGTGTCGCACTTTCTGTGCTAGTGTCATAACTGTCGTGCTTAGCTCACTGCTTTCTTGCAATGTATTCTTTTTTGCCGAGAATTTCATGGGCTCATATTGGGCTTGATTGTTGCTATTTGTTCCTTGCTTGGCTGTCTTCAAAATGCCGCAACCCCAGTACATTTTGGACTTGATAGGCTCAATTACAACCTAAGCTAAAAAAAAATACTATTTGCACCTATTTAACAATGAAAGAAAATACAATGAAAGTAAGTTCTACTCTAGAACTACAATTTACAAAAAAACATTATTATTTATTAAAGCTAGTAAGGATCATTCTCATCTAGGCATTCATTAGTACATTTGTAATGTAATAAGGAGGATAATGTCATGTTTTTAAAATAAAGGAGAGGGTTGTGTGGAATTTAAAAACAAAAACTCGGGTGTAAGTGCATTAGAAGAAAACCTTGGGGGTGTTAGTATAATTTACTCCTAGAATTAAGATTTAGACTGCACGATGGAGAGCACAAATCTGGTTTGATGAAAAATTATTGTTTCAGATTTTCATAATATACAAGCATCTGGATAAGAAATCATGACAACTGGTGTCTTGATTTTGTTTCCGGTGGTTACTACCACTTGCATTTTGCTATCTATAATCCTTCATTGAAATTGACATGGTTAAAGGATGCTACTTTCTGGTTGAAAGACGATAACTGACTTCAAAACAGGTTTTTTTTTCACCCAATAAATTGCTAAAAAGGTAAACGAAATTTATACTTTTTCATGAAGTAAAAAATCATGTGATTGTCCTGTAACTATTTTTTGTTGGCCGTCAATGCCAAATGATCCCAGAACTATGGATTATATAATATCTTGGTAGAGTACATTTTTAGGTTTTTATTGCCGAAGGATCACTTACATTAGGATTAGTAAACAATTTATAAAAAGAAAAATTGGTAGGAATCATACTTATGAATGCTGCTTTTATGTCTTTACACTTAACACATTCTCCATTTCCGCTTCTTTAGGTTTTTTAATATGTATAATATTTTCTGAAGAAAGGTCTGCCTTGTCTGTAGCCATTTGCTACTTGGGTTAAGTATTATCAGATGTCTGATTTAAAAATGAATAATGTGTTTGGTTTCTTTGTTAAACTTGTGTTTTCTTGTTATAAAGTAATATATACGTTCAGTACTGCAGGAAATTTCAGTACTTGATTCTAAGTATCCGTACCTTATTACTTTTCATGTCTGAACTTAAAAGCAACCTGTAGCCAATCATGGTTGTCATTATTCTCATATTTTTAACCTTTCTATTTTATGTCTTTATCTCTAATTCTGTTAATATTTCCTTATTTATCAGCATCGTATGGCAGGATTTGCTGCTATAGAAATTGCTCAAAAGGTCTCTAAGGCTTGGCGTGCCCTTCAAACGGAATGGAAATATTCTAATAAAAACAACTCAAACTCAAAGAGTGGCAGAAGGGCAAGGAGAAGGGAAAGAATTAATATGCCCAGTCAGAATAGGGGAGGTGCGGGTTGTAGCACAAGTAGTACCTCCGAAACATCTCCTTCACATGGCATTGTAGATGATAGATCATCCAGCTGTTCAATATCATGGCAAGATATTTATTCAATAGCTGTTAGATGGAGACAAATTTCTGAGCCTTGTGACTCTGTTGTGTGGGTGAACAAGCTAAGGTATTTCATCTTTGGGCTATAAGTATTCTTGCAGACCATATTGTTAATGCTTCCCACGTTTTGGATTTTATCGGTTTCTCTGCACTGCAGTGAAGAGTTTAATTCTGGGTTTGGTTCTCACACACCCATGATCCTGGGACAAGCCAAAGTTGTGCGTTACTTTCCTAACTGTGAAAGGTAAATAAACCCTGTTTAAGTTCAGTATTGGCAAACTGGGTTTTGGCTCATTCTTTTTATACATCACAGGACTTTAAATATTGCGAAGACTGTCATAAAAGAGAAATCACACGTCTACAGCAAGACAGATCATATCATTCGTCTCTCCAAAGATGGGAAATTGGATGAGGTGATTTGTGTATTGTTGATTTAGATCTGGTGATTAGTTTCTTGTTACTTGATTTACTATGCAAGAGGCCTCAGCCTTGACTTGTAACCCAATTGGTTGCTTTGGAAAACTGTTGCTTTTCTTTACTCAAGTTAGTAAGGGCTGTAATGTGCTTCTTATGCTATTTGTTTTGCATAGTCATACTTTAAAGTTCACACTTGTAGGTTGTATGTTATTTTTTGTGTATTTTTGTTGTATATTAAAAAACATGGAATGCAGGAGAATAATTTATTGATCAATCTACAGCATAATTTATACAGGTGAGGAAATAAAGGAAAATAACTCCTATTTAGTGCTAAAAATCTGCTATACATACAGCATATCAGACAGTTCCCAGCAGATATCATAAAACATTCATGAGTCCAAAAAACTAGCAACAACTTCAAAATTCAGTTTCAAGAGTCGTCCAGTCAATGTTCCTCCTGACTCTGAAACTGCATAGACTAAGCATCTGCCTCAAGAATTCATACCTAGCTTTAGGAAGTGCCCTTGTTAGGATATAAGTACTTTATTTTTTCTGTTTTGCAGTAAATTAATTTGATTTCTCCTTCCCTCTTGCTCCCCAATAGAAAATAGAGTTTTTTATAGTGTTTTGTTTTGCCATGGAAAACTGGATTACTAGCAGTTGAACTTGCAGCTTAATTATCCACAAATATATGTGTGCTGTCCTTTTGTTTCATATGCAAATCTGTCATGAGCTTTTTGATCTGAAGAGCATGAATACCAGCAGCAGCATCCACATAAATTTGCTTCTCTTGGGAATTGAACTATGATTTCTGTCCTCTTTGAATGCCATGAAAAAACCCTTAACCAAAGCTAAAATGATACCTAAAATACTTTTCATATTATCGGCACATCCAACACAATCACTATCAGAGTAGCCAAGAAGACTGAAATTTTCAAAACAATGATATCTTGTTCAAAAAATCTCAAGTGAGACTATAGGTGATCTGATAGCGATCCAATAGTGGGTAACATAATAAGTCCAATAAATTTTGCTAAGATATGTTTTAATACTCCTTAGAAGTGGACTTTAAGTATAATTCAACCTTACAAAACCAACTACTATAATTTAGTTATATCTCTAGTCAATATGGAATATCCAACAATAACAAGCTTAATGATAGGTTCTTTAATCAAGAACCTATGGAAAAACACGCTCTATACACCCAAATCACACAACACAGAATGTTGTATAACCTCTTCGTATTGACTTTCAATCAAAGAAACGAATACAGAGAGCTTAACCTCCCCCTCTCAGGACAACAAGTTCCTGACAAAACTCTTATTCTCCAAAAGTCCCTCTACAATTAGACCCAAAACTATTTATACAAGTTTCTTCCCGCTCTCCCTAACTGCCTAGGCAGTTAGGCTAACTAATATCTCTTCCTTCTCTCATACACTAATAACGGCCTAACACTTATTGTATGCAAGATGTTAGGCTTTCTTGCACTTAAATGCATTAGGTGGTTTATAAGGCTCCTGTGTAGCTTTTCATCCACATTTTCAGCTTTGTCTTCCTTGCAAAAAGCACTCCTTTTGATTCATTGGAGTTGCAGTTAGTTTGCTCCCTTCCATGTTAAACTTTTTGAAAACTTCAGTTGCATATTTTATTCTGTTTTTGATTGACCTGCATACCAAGATAAAATGTCATCCTTAAGATCTCTCATTTTAAAAACTCCTTTCACTTCTTCCTTGAACTTATCGATATGCTCATCGCTACTCTCTGAAACTAAAGATCTTCAACATATAGAGATACTTCAAGTACTTCACCATCAATTTGACATATATAGTTGATTCACTCAAACTTTTTTAAAGCCTAAGTTCACCAAGTGAGCATCAATTCAGCTATACCATGATGACAATGTCTGTTTTAAACCATACAAAGCTTTCTTTAGTCTATACACTTTCTCCTCTTGCCCTTGAACAACAAACCCTTCAGGTTGCTAAACAAAAATTTCTTCCTCCAAGTATCATTCGAAAGTTGATTTCACATTCATTTCATGCATAATCCAACACTTTTGTGCAGCAATAGAAAACTACATTCTTACATCTTCTAGCCTGGAAACTGGGGCAAAAGTATCAGAAAAATCAACTCTAAACACCTAAGTATATCTATTGACAACAAGCCTTTTCATTTGTTTGTCTATAGAACCATCTGGGTTGAGTTTTGTTCTGTAAACTCATTTGACACCAATAGCTTTCTTGTGGTGAGGTCTGCCCACCAGCACCCCTGTTTGATTTCTTGGAACATTTTGAGCTCCTTCTTCATTGTATTTATCCTTTTCTGGTGTTCAGCTGCAGCTTTTTTATATCCGTCAGGCTCCTTGACATCAACATTGCACCTTTGGTAGGTGCCTCAAAGTGATCTAGTTTCTTATGAGTTCTTCTTCAACATCTTCATTCTCCTCCTGAAGTTCAAGCTCCTTGGCATCTTCCTAGTTCCAACTCTCTGATTCCAAAAATTTCACATCCCTGACATCTACTTTGTTGCTTTGTCATAGGTAGATTCTATAAGCCTTGGAAGTTGAGCTAAAGCCTTAAAAAATTTCAGGTTCTGCGTTCTTATCCAATTTGCCCCTCTTTATTGGAGGTATGTAAGGCAACCAAAATGTCTTCAGTTTTGTTAGCCTTGGCTTGTAGTTGTGCCATGCTTCAAATGGAGTCTTCTCTGGAAAAGCTTTTGTTGGCACTCCAAGTCTTCTTAATTAACTGATAGAATTGGACTTCCCTTCTAATTTTTTAAAGCTTAAGGATTTCTAAATATTTATTAATCTTTGAAGATAAATGCTTCATAACTCTCTTTCTTGTGACTTGTGATTGTTACCAATTATTAAATCTTAATGACTGTCTGTGGTTGATGTTAGATGTTCCTTTTATTAAATGTAGTTTGAATAATAATAATAATAATGATGATGATGATTCAGTAGTTTGGCCTTTTTTATGAAAATGAAGACTTTAATATTTGATTTGCAGGTCACGCATGCCAATTCTATCTCTGATCTTTATAATGCTATTGGTGAGGATTTCTGGTCATCTACGTGGTGTAACAGTGCTGCATTTGAAGGGTAAGTGTGCAAGGTTCAGATGGTACCTGGGAACATATAATTTATAGAATACTTATTTCTGGATGTTAATGCTTCAGGAAACAACTTGAGGGAACAAGAATAACACTTGTAAAAACGTAAGCTTGATACAGTTAAAATTTTAGTTATTTTCTTTCCCCTTTTCCTTTCTTTTTTTGTTTCTTAACTGTTCATATCTACTTTATTGCGGGAATGGTGAATATTTTCAGGGGGGAGCATGGTTTTGACTTTGCAATTAGAACACCTTGTACACCCGCTAGATGGGAGGATTATGATGCAGAAATGGCAATGGCATGGGAAGTACGTTATAGTTATAACTATACCAAGCAACTTTTATTATATTGTTTTTAGCCAATATATATATATATATATATAT